ACACACACACACACACACAGAGTGTGAAAGAGACAGAGAGAGAGTGTGTGAAAGAGAGAGAGAGAGAGAGACAGAGAGAGAGAGAGACAGAGACAGAAAAAAGAGAGAGATTTCTGTTACTTCAACGTCTGTTTGATGTGGCCATAACTTTCCCTGGGTGTTCACCTTTACAGCCCGGTCTGACAGCCTAATGCATTGTGTTGGGAACACTGTACTGTTGAGGGAAGGGAGCTCAATCTACTCTCGTCATGCAGTGCCCGGTCTTGCAATGTATAATTGAAAAACAAAAATGGTAATGGTAGAAAATTTACTTTGCACGTTAGTTTTGAAACTTTAAGCAAGGGATCGAAAGGAGATACATTGTACATTGTATGTATTACCGCTAAAAGGTACAACGGCGTAACTGCACATTTCATCATTTTGGGATTTTAAAAAAAATAGAGAACAAAAAAACAAACACACAAAATAATATCAATCTTAACACTTAAAATATTGGGATCAGGCCCTTATTTATCTTAAACACTTTGGAAACTACTATTTCTGAGGTAGATAAGTCGTCCCACCTTTGGCACAAGAAGGGATGGACAAGACAAAGATTATAGGACGTACAAATCAGAGAACTCACTATAATGTTCTGTCCTGTCCTTCCATAGTTGGGTGCATACTCTCCCTTCCTTCTCTGTTCTCTGTTTGTCCTCTAGTCATTTCGAGATATAAAAAAAATTCCAGATTGTTACACACTCCTCTCTGCTCTCAAAGTGAGCATCCTTTTTTACAAATGCTATAAATACTTGTATCTCACAAATAGAACAGTAATACAGCACTTTTATGACCTTATCGTGTTGGAAAATCCCCGAAAGTCTTACTAAAACTAAAAAGAACAGTGATAGTTTACACGTATTCACAAATAGAATTGAAAATCCATTGGGTATTCTGAATATAACTAGTGTAATCCGAGGTGTGGAAATAGAGTGCAATCTCCCTCCGCTGAACAATTACGATTCGTCATTGTTGCCACGAGTAATACACGATATTCTCCATCATTTCTATGAATTGAATTGCTGGGTGCTCCTCTTAGGCTTATCTTGCCTGAATGTTCCCTCTCTATAACCCAGGGGCTGATGTGTCAAACGGTGGTATTGCATCTATACAATATATCTTTCTTTCTTTCCGACCCTCTGTCTGAAATGGCGATGTTTGACGCCCTTCTGGGTACAATTCAGGTCATTTGAATTTAAAGTAAACGTCCCATATAACGGTTTCAGACAGAAGGAGAAAATGTTCCTAGGAAGGCACCAAAAATTCGGCAGCACTTGATTCGAAACCAAACTTTCACGACTTGTTTGATCAAGTTGGTCAGCCAAATTCGGATCACCATACACCGAATTCCTTCTTCGTGGGGTTACTTAGTGGGTTAAATTTATTCACGTTTATTATTTCTTTTTCTCTGTCTCTTAAAAACTTGAAGGCAATCACTTTTCCGTCGGTATTTTCTATCACTCATTCATACTCAAACAAATCCTCTCTCGGATTTCCCGAATCACGGCTCAATCCTAAGTCACACCAGCACATATAACAAAATCTAATCCTTGTCAACACGCCACACGGTCCGTCAACACGGGCAAAGCAGCAGCATCGCTGTCGGAATATTTCACAACTCCTGACGGACAAGCCGGCGATCTATGCATGGCGTAGGTGGTGATATTTATGACGCTGTCTCAGAGTTACAAAGTTCTATCTGCTCAGTAGATCTACCTAGTTTTGAGACACTTGAGGTCTAAATTGTTGTTGAGTTTGGCAATATGTCAAGCTTTTTCGAACGCCATTCTTTGAATATATAAATAACGACTCGGATTAATCTTAAAATTTTTTAAAATGTTTTTGAAGAGGTGGAACATTAATGCATTTTCTGAGCTCATTGTCTAAGTAACTCAAAACGGCCAAAAAGTGTCAGATAGAACTTTGTAATTCTAAGGTAGCGATTATTATTTATCCCAGCCGCAATACCCTGTGTTACGACCGCAACACTGATCCCTGGTCGTGCCATGATACGACGTGCAGTGTACAGAAGCAAGAATCACCGGGGTGCCGGGAGCCGGGAGCTCAGATCTGGCGGCCAATCTCTCTCTCCTTCTGTGACGGTGCCCACGGTGTCCCTAAGTGCTAGGAGCTTCTTACTTAGCCCCACGTCGTTGTTCTGCCTGCCCTGGTACCCTGAGCGCGCGCGGTGCTGGTCACCTAATGGTCAGCGACACCGGGGGCGGGGGGTCACTGTTTAGATAGTGTTCGGGTATAATGATCTGCTGTCCTGCTTTATCTATCGAAGGACA